CCGCTGCCCAGGCGGGTCTCGAACCTGAGGGCTCAGGCAGTCCACTCACCTCAGCCTCCCAAAGGCGCGGGATTACAGGCTGAGCCACCGAGCCTGGCCTCTTCCAGTTTCTCTTGTGGCTGTATCCCTCCAATCTCTGCCTCCGTCTTCACCTGGCCTTCCCCTCTGTTTGTGTCAGTCTCCTGTGTCTCTTACAAGGACACTCTTTATTGGATTTAGGGCCTATATGGATAATCTAGGGTAATCTCATTTTGAGATCTTTAACAACATCTGCAAAGACTCTTTCCAAATCAGATCACATTCGCAGGTGCTGGGGATTAGGACATAGACACATCTTTTGGGAGGACACCATTCAATTCACTACATTAACTGACATTTTAAAAAATCCTGTACCTTTTCTCAGTCATCACAATATCCAGCATCTGTTATGTTCTAGTTCTAAGAAGAATCATAATCTCTATGCTATTTAAATTGAGTTTTCTAACACTTTGCTACCATTTTAAGTGACAATATCCTGTTCTTTGAAATCACATGTCTCTGCATTAATAATATAATCTTTTCTATTCCTAGGGTCATGTGGGTATACCAGGACTAAGAGGTGCCACTGGACAACAAGGGCCCCCAGTATGTTTTGAAAACATTCTTTGTAATTCTGGCATTTTAAAAAATTAACATTAATATAACTTATTTGTCCTCTGCTTCATATGTGATTTGTTTTGGTTCCTACTAAAGGGCGAGCCAGGTGACCAGGGTGAACAAGGACCAAAAGGAGAGAGAGGATCTGAAGTAAGTTGAAGTTCTTTAAGACAATTTGAAATTTATTGTTGGCTTAGAAAGAAAGGGGATTGCTGATTTGTTATTTATTGTAATATAAACGATCATTCATCCCTTCAGAATAGGGATCACTATAGGCCTCTAAACAGGGTATTTTCAGTAATTGTGCTAAAACATATAATAGATCCCTTCACATGTTTTGACTGTTATCCACTTTTTCTATTTTACCAGCAACCTCCTCTGGCTTTGTGAAAATTGCCTAAGTCTGGCAATTAGTTTGTGAAAATTGCTAAACTAATAGTTTCTTCTTAAGGTTTCAAGCAGAAATACCAACAAGCCTTAAAACCAGCATTGTAAAGTGAAAAGCATGTCAGTCAAAACTATATAGTTGGTGTAAGGAAGTATTTAAAAATTTATTCAGCCGGGCTCTATGGCTCAGACTGTAATCCCAGCACTTTGGAAGGCCGAGGCGAGTGGATGGCCTGAGCCCATGGGTTCGAGACCTGCCTGGGCAACTTGGAGAGACCTCATTTTTACAATAAATCAAAAATTAACCAGGCGTGGTATGCACGCCTGTAGTTCCGGCTACTTGGAAGGCTGAGGCAGAAGGATGACCAGAGCCCAGCAGATTGACACTGGGGTGGCTGTGAGCGTGCCACTGCACTCCAGCTTGGGCAGGGAGTGAGACTCCGACTCAAAAAAAAGTTTTTTTTATTTAATGATGCTTGCTAAAGCATGGTAAGGAAGACTTTATCCGGGACTATCACAATTGCTACAGGGACCAATACAATGGAATTTGGCAGGGGGGGAGGGATATTGGGCTCAACTCTGGATACAGCATGGGCAAGTGAGAATTTATAGCCAAGGAGCAGGGTGGGTGTCTGTAAATGGAAAATTACTAAGAAGGAACATCAAGAGTAAGGGAGATTCTAGTTGAACTGACCCAACAAGATTCTTGCTGAAAACAGGCCAGGGTGATCAGACTTCACCCGAGGGATGGTAGAGGATGAGGAAACCAATTAGATATCAGATGTCAAGGTGATCAGGTATCAAGGGTGGGGATTTTCGCTAAACTGACTTAGCAGGGAGTTCTTTGCTAAAACTGGTTACAAGAAAGTGCACAGATAAGTTTAGAAGGTTCAGGAGCCTGACTAAAGTCTGGCCAAGCAAAGAATCTTTGTCATAATGTAAAGAGAAATAACAGTTTGATTGTGGTTCACAGACTTACAATTGGTTTAAAAGTTTTTTTTTTCATAAGACAAAGCAATTAGTTGCTATTAAACAAACTAAAAATCTGTTGATTTGTTGAATTTAGTCTTCCCTACCCCTGTGGACTGACATTGACTCAACCTTGCATAGCAACTGGCTTTGTCATTTGCACTTTCATTGTTCTCCTACTTTTAATGGCATTCTGACTTCACATGCTATTGATTTTAAATTAAATTCTTAAGAACATTACCATAGTTTCATAATAAATTAGATGAGTATGAATAAAAAGTAATGAATTTGAGATCATGTTTCTCCTAATTTGTTAAGCAGTCTTCATCTATACTTTTGTTTCCCATTTGTAGAAGTCATAAAATGGAATTGAATCAGATATATTAAACTTATTTAATATAAATACATTAAATTTAATATATTCACTCACATGGAAGCCATTTTGAATAGCCTTGGCATCTACTCAGTAACCTTCTGTCAGATTTCTTGATGAGTAAGATTCAATAAATAGTAGGTAAAAATATCTTATTGAAGACAAACCTGAACAAGAAAAAAATGCAGAGACAGTAGATGGTTGCCTCATTCGCTTAGACTGTTTAATACCTAATTTGGAAAAAGTCATGGAAAAAACTGTGAACTTGGAACACTGCTATGTTGTCATGCGATTCCCTATATTTGCATGAAGTGTCTGAAAATGCAGGTGTTCTCCAAGATTTAATCTTAAAATATCTATTTTTTTTTACAATTAGTACTTTCATATTTACAAGTGTTCTTTTTCCTTTTTGATGGATCTCAGGAAGAAGAAATGTTCTGATCCTAATTAGTGTATGTTAAAATTGTGCCAATGAAAATCAAATAATCTTACTATAGCTGCCTGTCCAGCTTGCATGGTCAACTCTTCTTGGATCTTGGAGCTGAAAGGTTCTAAGAAGCCACAGTTTAAATTCTGTATAATTCAGGGGAACTAATTTTTCCTTTGCTGGCCAATATAACCCAAGGGTACATTAAAAAGCCTCTTGGAGTTTAAAATAGTGTTAAAAATTACAAGAATATATTGACTATGTATTATTATTATTATTATTATTATTATTGAGTTGGAGTCTCATTCCAACGCCGAGGCTGGAGTGCTGGGGCACACTTCTGCCTCAGCCTTCCAAGAAGCCAGAACTACAGGTGCGTACTACCACATCCAGCTAATTTTCTTTTTATTTATTGTAGAGACGCGGTCTCTCCAAGTTTCCCTGGCTGGTCTCAAACCCGCAGGCTCAGGCAGTCCACTGACCTCAGCCTCCCAAAGTGCTGGGATTACAGGCTGAGCCACCGAGCCCAGCCAACTGTGTATCATTTACTGAAGACATCTTCTTCGGCCAGATGGGTCCTGTCCAGTTACTGTCATATTGTTTTGGCAAAGCTCTAAATTTGTTTTTTTAGATTTGGAAATGGCCCTTTAAAATCACCTGGACAACCCTCTTATTTTTCAGATGAAGAAAGTTAAATCTGAAAGAGATTCTAATTTATCTAAAATCACTGAACTGATTAGCAACAGAACCAATACTAGAAACTTTATTTCCTAGCTTTCATTATTACACAAAAGCCTTCTGTTGGGTTGAAATCTATCACAAATTAAGTAAAATATGGTTAATTTTACTTGATAACTAATTCATTCATTGTGCATAAGACTGTGGGCAACTATAAAAAAGCTTTAGCAAGTCAAAACCAATTGCAGAACCACTGCATTTTTAAAAGATTTTTGTAATGCAAATGTGAGTAAACTGTCCTATAATGACTTTCAAAGACCAAGAATCAAGCCGAAATCTCATTTTCCTCCCAAAACAAAATTACAGATTTTAGTGAATTGAAATGTCTTAGTTAAAGGAAAAAAGAGTAATTCTTCCTTAACTCTTAAGCCTATGTTTTCTTTATACAGTTGCCCTCCAAAGGAGGTTAGAATTAGCAAAGTGTAGACAGAACTGTCCTTCAGCCTCTTTTAAACAAAATAAACAAGGGCTTGGACTAACATGGTACATTAAAAATTATGTCCCTTATCAAAAGAATTAGACTACTTTTCTAGTGGTCTTGTAAACTGGTATAGTCCCATTGAACAGAAGGCTTTTTAAATGGATCTGATTTTAAATGGTCACTCTATATGTTTTTCAGCCAAAAGAGAAAGCACGATTTTTTATATAGTCTAAAAATTACATATAAAATCCATTTGTCTTTTCTATTATGAGGACAGAAAAGTCTGTTCATTGATTTATGAGGTACTTATATTTAAATAAAATAATATGAGTAAGTTAAGTTTGAAAGTAACATAAAATACTTCTACTTTTATTATATTTGAACTTGGGGGATTAGTTGAAGATTGGCTTCTTTTTCCTTCTATGGTACCAACTCAATTAAGCATCCACCAACACCTTATATGACGACATATTTTCTTTGCCTTTAGCCCAATCTGTAATTTCCTACTGAACAGACCACCTCTGTGTAGGATTAGTGTTTAGGACTGTTTAGTTCTTAGTTCAGTTATAAGACTATCCAGTAATTCCAACTTTGAGATTTTTTAATACACACATTCAAAAAAAGCACTGTCTTAGTTCAAGCTTCTGTAACAAAGTACCATAGATTAGGTGTCTTATAAGCAACAGAAATGTATTTCTCATAATTCTGGGGGGTTGAAAGTCCAAGATTTAGGGTGGCAGTGTGGCCAGGTTCTGTGGGGGTCCTCTTCCATATTACAGACTGCTGGCTTTTCAGTGTATCCTCACATGGCAGAAAGAGGACTAGAGAATTCTCTGGGGTCCCTTTCGTAAGGACACTAATCCTATTCACATGGACTCCACCCTCATGACCTCATTATCTCCCAAAGGCCCCGCCTCCTAATACCATTAGGGTTAGTATTCTAATATATAAATTGGGGGAGGTTACACAGACATTCAGTTCACAATAGGTAGTAATGCTTTACACTTTGGTGATGTATTATGTGTTTAAAACTTCCACTATAAGACTGTGTTTTTCTTATAGTTGGACTAATTTATTTTAGTTATGTTGACAGTAATTGTAATAAGAAAGTCATTCCTGAAATCAACTTCCAAGAACAGCAGATACCATAATCTTGTTAAATACTTCTAGTGTTCAATAGAGAAATTTTGCCATAACTTCTACTATAATTAGCAAAATAAACTTTAAAAGTATTCCTTTAATATTATTCACATGTGAGCTGCTTCCTGATGCCTACCCAAGTTTGGATAGCATTCTAGTTTTTTTGATGATAGGCCCATAGATGTAGATTCAACTCTTCTGAAATAATCCTCAACACAATGGTCACCCCAAAATGTAATTGATTTGGGAAAAAATGTGAACCTGTTTCCATTTTGTAGTTTGAATGTTTAGAATAAGACTTTCACATACATGTATGCTATGCAAAAATATAGCCTTGTTTTTGTTCTTTATTATAAAGTTTAACATCTGTCCTACATGCCTTCCCTGCTTGGGGGTAGAAAACTAATTGATAGAAATTTAATTAATTGACTGCCTTTAACACCGTTCACACAGATATCCAGCATTTGATTTAGCATTTTCCCCATTCACTCTCTTCTCAAGTTTGCAGTTATAGTCTGGATGGCAATGGTGGACAGGGGGAGTAGGAAGTGAGTTTAGTCTTCATTTGTCATCTGTTCATACTAGCATCCACCAAAATGTACTTCATCCCTTTTGGTACCCAGTTGCCATCATCTCACCATGTTGGCATCTATGTTGGCCCTCCTGGCAGAAGGACTTTGACCTATACTGTCATGTACAACTGTTTTCTCATCTCAGGTACAAGGCTTCTTAGATAGGGCTCTCAGGACCATGTTCTTCTGTTCTTGGCCACATAGAAATAACATTCTGCTGCTCCCCATGCTATGCAGGGTTCTTGGAGGACTCAGAAAGATTTTGTTAAGTTCAGTGTCCTAGACATCTCATGCAGAAATTTCTAGCTTAATTTTGACACTCAATATACTTGATGACTTTCTTATGAGGACTTTGATCTCCCTAGGCATCCTCTCTTTGCCTAAATCCTCAAATTTATCTGGGAGTGTTAGTGTTTCTACCCACCCAAGGACTTGAGAGCAGGATAGGGTAAAGGGCCCTTCTCGGTGATCTTGTCAGTGTCCAAAATCTTGCTTCTCTTCTGTTTCTCCTCTTCCCTTTCCTCTACCTGCAGATGTTTATATCCTCTTACATAGGAAAAACTCCTATTATTATTATTATTATTGTCAGTCTGTTCTTTGTGGCATAACTTTTATGACCTGAGTCTTTTATAACCTCAAAGATAGACTTATTTGAATCAAGCTTTTGTATTTAAAAAACATGATTGTGAAACTGAAAATGTATTTTTTCCCCAAACTATTAGCCCACCATAAGTTTCAGTGGATTGTTTTGAAATTCAAAAGCCAAGGAAAAGTCTATTTTGAAAATCAAAAGTGTAGAGCAGTTATATCTCTTCACCTAAAAAGCAACATTGTGAAGGAAAAACCACACTGATGAATGTATTTGAGCTTCATCATTCATATGCTATTTAATTGGTACTATTCAAAATAATTGAAATCAGAACTTTTTTTCAGTGTTTAAAATAGTCTTTATTTGCTTGTTTCACTTTTTTATTGTGTTCTGAAAGACATTTTTAATAGGAATCATGTTTCAGAAATTATGTATATTTCAATTAAACCAGATCACCAACTATCCCATTTTCTAAGTCCTCATCTGTAGACCTTGTATTAGTAACTTTTAAGACAAGTAAAATAGTTTTCAAAATCAGAGGTAACACTCTTGATTTATATATATCTCTCCATTATCAAATTTTAACTAAGTTGAATTTTTTTTATCTCCTACAGAATATGTTTTTTCCTATGGCAATATATACTATTCTTCTTAAGGTGCTTAAGAAGAGAATTTTGAGAAAATATAACATCTACTAAAGTTGTTTGTTGTTGTTCAATTGAATCTTTGGCATATTTTGTCTTCATATTTGAATAACATCCTGTTTTAATGGAGTTATCCTGTTTAGGAGAACTTTTAATGATATCTGGTCATGACAATATGATTCTTTTTCTTATTTGTGAACCAGGTCACTCTTTTCCACATTTTTCTTCTTAAAATACTTTTAGAGTATCATCAGAACAATGGCATGATTTGCAAGGGCAAAGTTCCTAACTATCCTGGCAGACCAGTTAGTGCTAAATCAATTATGATTTAAAACATCTTGTACATGGAAAAACAAACAATTCTGTGGGAAGTAAATATATTTTCCTTGAGTCATGAGTATGTTTCTGTCTGTACTTCCAGAGAAGCACATTTTAGGCTATTGGTTCGTGTCCTTCACTACACTGTAAGTGAGAGTGGGAACTTTGCCTTTGCATTCCTAGCACATAACAGAGTCCCTGATACATGATACTCAATAAATGCTTGCTAAATTAAGTATTTAGCACCCCTCTCTCTCTCTCATTTTCTCTCTCCTTCCCTCTCTCTCCCCCTCCCCCCCCACCCTTTCTCTCTCTCTCTGTCTCTCTCACTCTTTCTCTCTCCTGAAACATTACAGGATAGGCAAGTGGCAGTTGCAGGTATTGTGCAGATCCATGCTGTCCAATACGCTCCAGATAGTTAGCCACTTTCAAAAAGAGATGAAGGTCCTTCCTGAGAGTGAGGATATTTTGTTAAGTAATCTATTCAGTTCCCTTTTAGAACTATGATTTAAGTTCTCAAATTATAGAATTTGGAGCTAGCAGGGAATTCATAGATGATTTGGACAGACTCTCTTATTTTCACATAAAGAAGCTGACTCCCAGGAAAGTTAAATGGCAGCTTCAGTGACAGACAACTTAGCATCTAGGTCTCGGTGTTCTTTTCTATGGCTTAGTTTAAGTGGGTTTATTACGATCAATTGACAACTGTGTTTCCCATTTTTAGGGTCATAAGGGAAAAAAAGGAGCTCCTGGTCCTTCTGGGAAACATGGGATTCCTGTAAGTAGCAGGCCTCTTTCATCTTTCTTGATTTTCTAAATGGAATTGGCAACTTCAGTAAGCAGAAAAGCTTGGAGCCAACCATGTCATGTTGGATAAATCAGATTGTCTTGGAAAAAATTTTAAGCCCATTTTGGAACACAGAGGGAGAAAATATGACCATGAACTCCAAGCCAAACTTGCTATTTAGATATTAGGCCCTGCGGTTAAAGGATGCTATTTTCCTATGTTATGGAGCCCTCCTGGTGGACTCATCCGACTCTCTGAGGATGAACCACTGAAAAACAGGGAACTTGGAATCGTGACTAAATGAATGAACAGTGGTCAGAGATATCAAGCATCACTGAAAAGAGATGAACTAGATTTTTTTTTTTTTTTTTATAAATATGTGGGGTACAATTCAGGGTAAGGTATACAAACATTGATCATGCAGGTACCCTTGTTGATGAGGTATGCCCCTCCCTCCCCGAGCAGTTTCCCTCACCTGCCAATCCCATCCCACCTCCCCTGACAGTTTCCTATTACTGCCAAATGCAGAAATGAACTAGATTTTAATTGGAGGACTCGATGTCTCATTCTTCTGGCAACTAAAAATTTTTAAAAAAAATTTCATCAGAGACAAAGATTAATTTTTACCTTAGTCATCAGTTTCCATCTCGGGTCAGGGAGAAATGTGTTGACTGACTCATTAGCAAAGACTTCTTACTGGCGTTCCTCTAGCCAAGGCTTTGATGCTTTGATGTTGGTTTGGGGGAAAAAAGAGAGAGAGAAAGTGAATGTAAATTATAAGCACACTCAAATCAGAGATACCTATAGAGAAAATCCAGTTGCCCAAAAGTAGAGACAACAATATAGTTTTTGCAGATGGCTAATGATACAGCCTGTACCTTAAGCTGACAGGTGCATTTAACTGATCTTTTCTCCACAGCTGTATAACCATGGGCTGACACAATAAGAAATACCAGAATTAGACTAAGCTTCAAAATGTTACACAGTAAATTGTTGATTAGCTAGGCATTTTTGTTTGGGGAACTTTTAAAGACAATTATCTGTTGAACCCAAATAGTAAACCATTAGTGAATCCAGGGCACAGAAAAATTTGTCCCAGAAGAGGGTACAAAAATGTAAACTACCCACCTCAACAAATAAAAAGGCATTTGAAATTTGAATATCTGTTCAGCATCTCTCTATAATCCAAGTAATTTTTAATTATCAAGGGACTTCCAGGCCTTCCTGGGCCAAAAGGCTTGCAAGGATCCCATGGAGCAGATGGTGTTTCAGGAAGCCCTGGAAAAGTTGGGCTACCAGGAAAACAAGGACTTCCTGTGAGTAGTGTGGATATCTCTTTGCTGTTTATGAGGGGAACGCAAAAAAACCGGAATTATTTTTGGGAGGGCGGGCCCTTATAGAACAGGCTTTCCCCTTAGGTAAGTGTACTAGGAATCCATCGGCATCAGTGTACCAACTAATGTTGTTGTGAGACGCTGCATTCAGCTTCAGTGTTTTGTTTTGGTTTTTTTGGAGATTCTTTCAACGTGTTTGCCCGTTTCATGATGGGTGATTAACGAGCACACCTACCCACCCTGTGTTGAGTGTTCAGCAGTTTTTGACGAAAACCGGCATGACGCCTATGCCCCACCCTCTCTGTTCACCCAATCTCACCCCCAGCAACTGTTTTTTGGTTTCCCTGAATTGAGAAATTCCTCAAAGGGAAATGTTTAGCCAATGTAGAAGAGGGAAACAAAAAATGACAGAAGCACTAAAAGGCATCATTTTTTAGCAAGTTCAAAAACTTTTGAGCAATGGAATAAGCATCTCAATAGGCATATTGTATCAAACAGAGAGTACTTTGAAGACGACTACGTTTAAACATGTAAGAATAAATACACAATTTTCCATAAATAAATTTCAGTTTTTGAGGTCCTCCCCCCTGTAGTTCTTACATATGTGTGCCTCCTTGCTAGACCATAGATATTTTGGCTATGCTTTTTAGCTTTGGCATTGGCTCAAATTAAGATAATTCATTTCTTTAATAGTTGTTTTGGAATTGTTTATGATTTCCAAGGAATGTCAATGGGTACATTCTCCTGGATATTGTATATGTAATAGCCCATAGTGTTAATAATTTATTCCATTTTATACATATAAAAACTTATAAAGAAGAGCTATTAGGAAACAAAATTCTAAGGACTACACAACCTGGCTGTACTTCGAGTTCATCAATGTTTTAAGCTACCTATGAAACATTTAGGTCTTGGAAGTAACTTAGGGTAAATCTGTCAAAGATCGTTTTCCCCTTACTTTTTTTTTTCTTTTTTTTGAGTTGGAGTCTCACTCTTGTCGCCCAGGCTGGAGTGCAGTGGTACACTCATGGCCACCGCAGCCTCAACCTGCTGCGCTCAGGCAATCCTTCCACCTCAGCCTTCCAAGTAGCTGGAACTATAGAAGCATGCCACCATGCCCGGCTAGTTTTGTGTGTGTGTGTGTGTGTGTGTGTGTGTGTGTGTGTGTGTGTGCGTGTGTGTGTGTGATTTATTGTAGAATCAAGGTCTCACCAAGTTGTCCAGGCTGGTCTTGAACCCCCGGGCTCAGGCAATCCTCTCACCTCGGCCTCCCAAAGTGCTGGGGTTACAGACTGAGACACCGCGCCCGGCCTTCTCTTTATTTTTATAGCCTCAGTATTTTACAAAAATTGTGTGAATATTCTCTCTGTGTTCACGTAGTTCATTGCTTGCTATAGTACATTAACTCTTCTACATGATGTGTAATTATTCATGTTGTGTGTTAAGTACGTTTAATGATCAGAGAACATTTGTTAGGAACAGCAAATCCATATCTAGAATATGTGTCTACCCCTGAGAGGATAATCCTGGCTTGCTCCAACTGACCCCCCAGGGATCATTGCCATGTTGGAGCTCAGCGTTGGCTTCTGCTCTTGGCAGCTTTGTCAGTCACCAGGGATGGTAGCCACATCAGCCTTGGTGAAGAAAAGTTCACATTGTTGAATTTCTGCCTATGAGCCCATTGAACAACCACTATGATTCCTATGGGGAAAAGTGATTCAATGATATGGTTTCACCCTTATTTTTATGTAAATTTTTATCTTTTTTATTTGATTAGAAATTTTAAGAATCATATTTTTGTCCTTAGCCATTTTCCCGCTCTTCTCTCCTAATAGTCATCCTAATCTAGGTATTTTTGTTAGCCCATGTTGTGTTTTCACTCCAGAAATTAGAAGAATTAACCACATATTTATAAGAAAATAGTAAAATTTACTTTTTGACATGTTAGCCATTTGGATATGGTTATTATTGATTCGTTCCCATTTTCTTAAATAATAAATTAATCCTAGTTGTTAATTTAAATCTAGCATGGTTCTGTACCTAAGTTCAAACACAAATTAATATTCTTTTTCAGTATGATATGGTGTTTTTTTGTTGTTGTTTAAACAAAAACTATGAAACTATGTCCTAACCAATTTAATTATTTCAGGAATAAATATCTAGTCAGATTTTATCTGAAAAGATAAGTACTTTTAAGGAATCTTAACATAGTTTCCATTTGTTTTGAGGAAATATGTCAGAACATCAGAACATTAGATTAGGAACTAGAAAACTTTGAGGGCCAGGCTGAAGTTTTTCATTAAAATAGATGTTTTACAGACTTCAGTCTTGTTAAAAGAGAACTTTACTTTGAGATCCCAGTCTTCATGGGAGCTCAGGCACTGGGTCTTCATCTTCACACTACTCTCCAGAGTTACCATGTGATAGTCTTAAAATGAAATTGTAAATTTTTAAAAATACAATGGTAAAACACCTTGAATTGGTATGAAAGCATACATTTTTGACTGGGAAATGTTTAGTGAATCCTTTCTTATTGCTTTCAGTAAGATTTTGAGGGTTCAAACAAGAAAAACTATATTTGAAAATACATCAAATTTCTTGCTGTTATGCACAAAGTTTAATCATGTTGATGGTATGTATGTGGATGTTTTCAGCAGTTTCTGAGGCTAAAGCAAATTGTAGATACCAATAATGCAGATAAACATATGTAATTATTAATGTATTATCAGTAATTAACTTATTGTTGTTTCTTTTTTTGAGTTGGAGTCTCACTCTGTCGCCCAGACTGGAATGCAGTGGCCGCTCCCGGCCACCGCAGCCTCGACCTGCTGGGCTCCAGCGATCCTTCCGCCTCAGCCTTCCAAGTAGCTGGAATTACAGGCATGCGCTACCACACCCGCCTGATTTTTTGATTTATTGTAGAGATGAGGTCTCGCCAAGTTGCCCAGGCGAGTCTCGAACCTGCGGGCTCAGGCAGTCCACTCATCTCAGCCTCCCAAAGGCTCAGGATTACAGGCTGAGCCACTGAGCCCGGCTAGTAATTAACTTATTTAATAGGAATAAGAAGTCATTTGTTCTCAGGCTAAAATACTACTAATCCATATATTCCTTACAGATATGGATAATAGAAACCAGTATCCTACATATATGTGTTTAATAAGAATTTCAGATGTTCAGTATGCGAGCTATTCATTAGAACAGCAGTGACACATCAAAATCATTAGTGACTTTTTATATCAGGTCATTTAATGGTTCATTGTGACACACAACTTTCCAGCAATATGTGATACTAAAAACCCCTGGGAAGGATTGAAAATTCCATGGAATTAAAGCACTGATATAGATTATTATAAAATTATGAACCACTTTCTTTTGCAGAAAAAACTGCCATGTGGCAACTGGTTGCTCTCTCCTGATATTTCTAGAAAGAAAGTAGACATTTTCTAACAACAACCTAATTCAATAGTGTGGTAATACTTAAAGGACAGTAATGTAATAGCTTAGAGAAAGCCAATACAGCAAATACCAAATTAATGCAAATAAGATGCTGATTTCATTCAACACCACTCTAAGCCTTATTCCTGGAATCTGTCACACCAGCTTTATTGGCTGTGTGAGCAAAGGCTCATGCATGAAATTGAAACACTGGCTTTATCTAGAATAGACAAATAGGAAGGGACTGAAGGCCAAATGATGAGGCTAGTCATATTCCAAGACTCAATTAGGGCTTGGAGGTATCAGCCATGGCTGTTTAGCTGTAAACAAAAATCTCCTCTGGTTAACTTAAGCAGAAAACAATTTATAGGAGGAAAACAGGATTGCTTATGGAATCAGCAGAAAGACTGGAGTCCTAGGGCCAGAAAAAACTCTGAAATGAAGGAATACTTGCTACAGGACTCTCCGGGCGAGGAGCAGTCTATTTAGGATGCCACCAGAGACTTTGGCACCCATTGACACTGCCACCATTGGACTCTCAGTGCCAGTGCCACTGCACTATGAGCACTTTCTAAACTGGCATGCTTCTGCGTGCCATTTGCTCAAGATTCAAAGACCTAAATGAACGTCCAGTCATTTGAATAAAGTCATCTACCAGAATCCTAAATGCCAGAGGAAGAAAAACATGTTCTTACAACTTTAACTTCTTGATTCTTTTAGGTTCTTCACGCTCTCTGTTTTGCCCTAGTTATAGAGTTGCTGAGGTGATCATATTAATGAATGTATGGCATATTGTCATCAGTTTTTGCGTAGACCTACTCTTTGACCGATTTCCTATTATCCTCATTCTTATTCCCCTCTCCCTAAAATAGCGAAATATTTTGTGTGTTTTAATGTATATTTTTATCTGAATGTGTTCTAAAATATACTGTTTTTTAATGCACTTATCTATAATATTAAAATACCATTAGAGCATTCTGCTTCTTAGGTTTTTTGTTTTTGTGTTTTTTTGAGTCAGGGTCTCCCTCTGTCACCCAGGCTGGAGTGCAGTGGCACACTCATGGCCACTGTAGCCTCGACCTGCTGGGCTCAGGTGATCCTCCCGCCTTAGCCTTCCAAGTAGCTGGAACCAAGTAGCTGCACCACCATGCCTGGCTAATTTTTTGATTTATTGTAGAGATGAGGTCTCGCCAAGTTGTCCAGGATGGTCTCGAACCTGTGGGCTCAGGTAATCTTCTCACCTCAGCCTCCCAAAGTGCTGGGATTATAGGCGTGAGTCACCATGCCTGGTCGTGCTTCTTAGTTTTTTCACTTAGCACTGGGTTTTTAAGATGTATTCATATTGCTATAGGTACATTAGCTCTGTCTCTTCCAACTGATGTATAATTATTCATGTTGTGTGTCAAGTACATTTTAACTACTCCTCACATCTACTAAAAGTCCATCTTGTTTACCTGATTATTGAGAGCCTACTCTATAGAGGATGCTCTCTGTTAAATATTTATATGGCATATAGCTATCTTCACATTGACTCTGTTTTGAGAGTT